CTGGACTTTACCCCTTCAGTACACCGTTCAGTCGAAAATAGCTAATTGGAAAAGCAAGACAGGTTATGTCTCAAGTCGCGTTGGATTCCTGAGAGAAGAAGGTTTTACTAGAGGAAACGCATTGGCAACTTCAATAAGCTGAGGCAGATGCAGGCTAGGCTGACGGAAGAATAATTACTGACGCTGGTTCGAGACTCGCCCTTATACATATAGGGCAAGCATTTCCCATTTCCCATTCGAATGAAAAACCTCCCTACTTTGAAAAACAACTATCCAGACGCTGCGGTAATATGGAGGGAATCAGAATTGTGTGGGCGGCCCTCCGGTTTTCACAAAACTCCAATTATCACACGGCGTGTAGCCTCAGACATGCTTGACGAGGTTTCGCTGTAAGCCTTGTAATTTCCCGCCTTCCGCCCTTCCCCCCTACCCTGCCTGCTCATATGCCTAGACAGCGTTTCTGACCCTTTAGGTGCCTACTTAGTTTGCTCGCTGTGAACTGTCTTCTTATTGAACCTGCTTTTTTTAAGGTGACTGTTAACAGTGGCACCAGGGGTTATGCAATTTGTGGCGTCAGTAAGTTTTACATGCTTAGTCACTTCTATCGCATGCCAGCCTTCGATGGTATAAAAAAAACTTGCTTTACTTTTAACGCTTTAGTGTCTATAGACCTTCGCAAGATGCTGTGAAAGGGCAGCAGGATTGCTGTTTCAGTACATTTGTTGGCTTCTAAAAAGTAGGGGTTTATTTTAGTAGTCTAATTTGCTATGAGGGTGGATATCAGATATTGCCACTTGACTAATACGCCCCTCTCTGATTCACTATATTTAGTATAAAAGGCATTGTCTTTGAAGAACCTATTAAAAGAGTCAAACTATTCAACTAAAAATATGCAAGTTAATATTAAATGGGGGTAACTTATTTACACGGAGAAACTAGTTTTGCAACATAGTCATCCTGAAGAAGCAGAGTTAAAAAATATGTCAAATAATAGATAATAGCGTTATCTGTAGTTATCAGCAAAGTGTCGCTAAGTTTAAACTGAGCCTCCTTCTCCGAAAGGACGGTATCTTTCAGGTAAATATACACCAGGTTTGCTGACGAATTGAAACTTTGGAAGATCACA